CTCTCTCTCTCTCTCTCTCTCTGTCTCTGTCTCTCTCTTTCTTTCTTTCTTTCTTAATTTCTTTCTTTCTCACTTCCTTTCTATCTGTCTTTTTAAATCAGCGTCGTCAAATTAGGGTGTCAAAGCAGCAGAATTACATTTTAAGCAATATTTTTAAGAATTTAGAGGGTTTTTTAAAAATCCCCAAATAAATGCTTCATAAATAGAATCTACCTACTGTGTTGTGGTGTAATTTTTTATACATCTAGATTTGCTGTTGGACCAACAGCAAACAAAGTGACACTTCTAAAGTCTGCGACAGGTGAACAGCTGACTGACAAGAAGAAACAAATGGAAAGATGGTGGAACATTATTCAGATTTATACTCAGAGGAACGACATGTTGATAGACAGCTACATGAGGCCATTCCTCAGCTCTCCAAAAAGTCAGAACTTGATACAACATCAACAGAAGAAGAACTCTCCTCTGCAATTGATGAACTCGTTTGCAGAAAAGCAGCAGGAAATGACAACATACCTGCTGAAGTACCGAAAGAGAACAAAGAGACCCTCCTCCCATATCTCAACAAGCTACTAACATCTTGTTGGCTGAAAGCAGAAATTCCACATGACATGAGAGATGCCAAAATCACCACACTCTACAAGTACAAAGGGGACAAAGAAGATTGCAACAACTACAGAGGTATCTCATTGCTAAGCATCACTGGAAAAGCTTTCGCTAGGATCATTCTGAAACGACTTCAGAAACTAGCAGAAAGAGTCCTACCAGAGAGCCAATGCTGTTTCAGATCAAACCGCTCAACAATGGACATGATCTTTTCTGTTTGTCATCTACAAGAAAAATGCAGGGAGCAACAACTACTGCCATTACATACTGCGTCCGTCGGTCTGAAAAAGGCTTTTGATACAGTCGGTACATAAGGACTGTACATGGTGCTTGGACAAATTGGCTGTCCCCCAATACTGCTACAGCTCATCATCTCATTCCACGAAGATATGAAGGCCACCATTCAGTTTGACGGTTCAACATCAAACAGTTTCAACATCAATAGCGGAGTAAAGCAAGGTTGTGTCTTAGTACCAACCCTTTTTAGCACTTATTTTTGCTGTCTTACTGCAACATGCATTTAAAGAGTCACCAGGGGATGTCTTCCTCCACTGGAGAACAGATGGGTCGCTCTTCAATCTTGCTCGACTCAAGGCCAAGACCCAGATCAACAAAACAACAGTACGAGGCCTTCTCTTCGCCGATGATGCTGCTCTTGTTGCTCACAGTGAATCAACCCTTCAAACAATGATGGCCACCTATCAAAAGCATGCAAAGTTTTTAGCTTGGTCGTCAGTGTTAAGAAAACAGTCATCCTTACCCAAGAAGGTGCAGAGCAGAGACATATATGGCTGAACGACAAGGAGTTTGAGACAGTGGACAAGTTCTGTTACCTGGGGTCTACCATCAGCTCTACTACATCACTTGATTATGAGATCAGCACCATGATAGGGAAAGCAGCAACAACTTTAGGAAGGCTGACAAAACGAGCATGGGAAAACAAAAGATTAACTATCAAAACAAAGATCAAGATTTACTAAGCATGTGTCCTCAGCACACTCTTTATGGATCTGAAACATGGACCTTGTACAGCAGACAAGAAAAGCGCCTCGACAATTTCCATTTCAGATGCTGCCGCAAGATCTTAGGCATTTCGTGGCGCGACAAGGTTACAAATGTTGAAGTGTTGGCACGGGCAAACCTCCAGAGCATGACAACTATCCTGTGTTTAAAAAGATTGAGATGGCTGGGCAATGTCAAGAGAATGGACGACAACCGGATTCCGAAGCAACTTCTCTATGAAGAACTTGCCCAGGGAAAGAGACCAAGAGGAAGACCAAAATTGAAGTACAAAGACTCCTGCAAAAACAGTTTATTATCTAGGCTTGGGGTAGATGTTAGCATCTGGGAAGAAATAGCTGAGGACAGGAAAACATGGAGGAAATGATAAAGGAAAGAACTATAATGCTAGAGAGCAGCCTTAGAAACAACCAGGCTGAAAAGCGCCAACGACGAAAGGAAAACAGCGGAAATACAGAGCTTCGATCTACGACACATATACATGCAAGCACTGCGACAGAATCTGCGTTTCAAACATGAAGACTTAGCCATGAAAGAAGCTGCATATGAAGACAACCTTGAGACCATCTTAAGCTAAATTGACCGTCTGCATAGATGAAAAGAGCCATATATATTTCTAGATTTAGGCTTTAGGCACCCTCTATGTGGAGTCAAGCAGACACCTACTGGCGCCTGTCCGCGTCGATCTTCAGCCGCTTTTGTCCGAGAGCCAGGTCTATGTACAAGTACTAAAACCTAGTTTTCTATCACAAAGTTTTTTTTCTTTGGTGATTCTGCTTCCTTAGGGTCTCTAGACTTCATATCAGCCGGGGGCCAACTGCCAACTTGTATCTTATAGGCATCATTTTTTCTGCTGGTTGAAATACACCAACCCGTATCTAGGGCTGGGAAACGAGTCGCTTTAGCAAAATCCGAAAAATATGTTAGTCCACCTCTTCGGCAAATAATATGTTATGAACTGCTTGGACAAATGAGTTAGAACCACTTCGACAAACGGGTTGGATTAAGTTTCGGCGTTCTCTATGTTATCGCCCTATGATTTGGTAGCGAATTGAAAACGAAACAGCACCCATCGCAACGCTGGGCGATGTAAGTTAAGGGAAAGATCGATAACTGTGAATGGACCGTCTTTTCTAAAAAAAAAAAAAAAAAAGACAGTCGATGCATAATTGCTCCGTGCTATACCGATCGACGCAAGCTTGCGCGTTTTAGTGATAGTATAATTGCGCTGCAATCGATTGCGCTGCGCGTTTTAACGATCGTGTAATTGTATCATTCTTGTGAACTCTTAGTTTCATATGTTAATTTCAATTTTTATTTTTATATTCTTAACACTTTTGAAAATATATATGTGAATGTTCCTTGACGTGAGTAAAAGAATAAAGATGGAAGCGAATTTAATTTTTTTTATTTTAAATATACAATATTAACGCAATCTTCAGATTGCCGCGCAATTATACTATTGTTAAAACACACGGCGCATACCACTTGATACTGATAGGGGCAAGTCGCGTTGTAGTTGTACCAGACAGCTTAGCATTATAGCTATAGGGGCCTATAGCTTGTTCACTTAAGTCTGGCCATGGTTAGCCTGGAACAAGGTACTGAATTGTAATGAAATCGCTTTGTTTAAAAGCAGATCAAGATCTAAAAGTTGGTTGACCAACTGAATCTAAAACACTGATGTGAGGGCAGATGTGGTGTCGCTGTCTCAAAATAAGCAATGGCCTGGTTACACTCAGTCATTATTTATTTTAGTGATTAAGTGTTCAAAATAAGAAACTTTTATAAATTACTGGATCAATACTTTTGGAAAGAATAACAAGTTGTTGATCGCTGGCCTGCAGAAGCGCCATTCAAAGTTTCGTGGGCAGGGGGTAAATTGTTAAATAAATGAGATGGGATTTGTAAAAGGCGGAAAGACGAAAGTGAACAATTAAGCTAGAGGCTATCGTGCAAAAACCAAGCGTCTTTTAATTATGGTCGTCTGCTAGACCACTCCTATGCAAATTAGAGCCCTTCACCCCCAACCAGCACTAATAAATAAATGTGGCAAAGCAGCTAGGCTATTATTTAATTAAGAAACAATTAATTGCCCTGAGCCATAGGTTAGTATAAGAACGTATAGCTCTGAGCCAGAGGTCATTGCCCTGAGCTCAGTCGGGACTTATCTCCTTCCATCTCTACCCCGCCACTTTTCTCCAATTTTCGAACATAATAAACAATGAATAATGTGGAATTTTCTCTCTCTCTCTCTCTCTCTCTCTCTCTCTCTCTCTCTCTCTCTTTATTTATTTATTTATTTATTTTTTTGCAAAGGGCTCACGCTTTTATTCAAATTATAATTTAGTTTAAGATTTAGATCTACTCTACCTGGAAATTGATATAATTTAGAGAGAGATATATATATATACCCGTTAATCAGCCTGCAATAAGGCATTGGCCCACTGTTACTACATGCACTTGGTATGGAATGGGTTGGAATCAAAGACCTTAAAATAAACCTAACTCTATTCATAACCTGCTGACTTCTTGATTGGAATGGTTATTTAATAGGGTAATAATCTTTTAAAAAAAAACCCTACCGATAGTAATAGTTTTGTTGCCCGCATATGGGAGTGATAGTTTTGAAAAGTACATTAGCAGTACAATCCAAACGATCAGGCCTTTTTCTAAATAACTTTCCATGGCGATTTGTTTACAACGGTGTTTCCACTGATAAGGCCCCCAGTAAGTTGTAAACTGTCCCTTTCACCAAGACCTAGATCTAGATCTAGTATACGGATAATTGCATGCTGTATTGGAAATTCATAGTAAGCCCAGGGGCGTATAACCAAGAGCTTCATGTTTGATAAAGCAATCTTTAGCCTACTGATACTGGCTCATAAAAATGACTTTTTAGCCTACTTTGCCTCTTGGACTTGACTTGGTTGCCGACGCCGACTTTGCCTCGAATCCTGCAAATGAATGTGTAAATAAAAAATAGAATTCTACGCTCAAACAGGAAGATTGCCTCCCCCCCCCTCCCTCTTCCAACTCCTCCTCCTCCTCCTACTACTACTACTGCTACTACTACTATTACTAGTGGTGTGCGAGTAAGCGAAAAATCTTGGTCGAGTAATGATCGGTTAAATGCAAAATTGTTCGGTTAACCGATGAAATTGACCGAAAAAATTTTCTCGACCAAGAAATCTAGATCGAGCAGGGGTCAAAAGTCATCGCAGCTGCGCTGTAAGCACGCATTTTTCAGCTGATGTCTGGATCTAAAAATAGCCTAGCTTTTGGTCTTCGTCGCTTCGCGCGGTATAAAAATAAGAGTCAAATATATCAAGAAGATGCGTGCAAAGTTAGTTAATTTGTTTAACATGTATTTTGATTGCTCCTTTCGGGAAAATTGAAGAATACTGGACCACTCGTATTATTGCGAGAGAATGGGGGGGGGGGGGGGGGGGTGTTCTAAGCTAGGCCTACCTGTGTGAGAGGGATTAAAAGTGGATAAAAACTGGGGAAAATCATGAATTCCTAAGGTTGTCGAGACATAGATATAGGCAAAAGTTGTCCGAATCCGCTGGTCCGGTAGGCCTGTTCTTCAATCTTACCTCCTTTTTTTTGTTTCTTCGCTCAGTTTCCAGCCCAGATCGAGCATATTTTATTAATAGGTTAGGCTAATTCATTGTGCTGGTATTTATTAAATGTGTTTTTCAAGAAAAGTAAAGATCTAGGCACAGAAACAAAAATCAGCACAGTAATACAGAATAACAAGTTGCAGATCAAAGTGGAAGCGTTGAAATTAAGTAAAAAGAGGAAAGCATCCAAATTACTAAGATTGAGAATGTGAACAAGTCTAGATCGGACGAAATATTCTGGCTTAAGAGGTCAGAATGAGAGCAGAGAGAAATGAAGAGGAACTGAAATAAAGACTTGGTTTGTATAGATGCCAGTGGGTCACTGGTTTGCATGATATAAATCAGCTGATCGGACAAAGTGAGAACAACAACAACACTAGATCTAGCCTACAGACGATGCGTTTCAAGGTCATGTAGGGCCAGACGTAGATCTAGTAAGCCTACGATTCTGCTGCTGGCATGTTGGAGGGGCCTGGGTTTACGGGTTTTAATACGTTTTTATATTGTTGTTGCTGTACTGTCAGTAAATCATTTAGAAAATGGTACCAAAGATGCTTTTGGAAGAGAGCGACCTAGCGCGAAATGCTCGCGCTTACGCTTATCAACGAAAAGACCCTCATATTAAACCTGGCTAGATCTAAAAATAAAATGTTCCGTTATGAATATTGATAAGTTGACACACTTGTCTCGCTTTCGTGCTGGTGGCGCGAGACATTTGCCAAGTTGTTGGTTTTCCAGGAGCACAGCCATTTCAATGTCTTTTACCCTCAGTGCAGTTAAAAAACCGCGACAGTCTAAAAATAAAGAGTGGCTGCTGGGTTTGACATTCAACAAGATTCCCAATTGTGTATCTGATAGTAAATATACTCTTGGGCAGCTATTTCCTAATTAGAATATACGACTTTATTCTATTTTGACTAATAATATGACTTTAAAATATGTTTGGCATTTGTTTGTCAGCAACAAGTAATTTTAGCGTTTGATTGCTGTTTGTTCGAACAAATTTCATCATTGCCAGTTTGAGGTTTACCCAGGAGCCAGGAGCACCATTATCCCAAAAGCCTAAACGAACACAAAACCGCGACCGTCAACAATTGAAAAGGATACTAGCTTTTGTACTGAATAATGAGCTCCCAGTTCTACTATTATATTAAAAATATATCTTACAGAATTATAACTGTTATTTCACTCTTTTTAAAGCTAGAAGTTTGCCGTATCTAAAAATGAGGCAAAGATAAATATTACGTTTCGCGTTTGTTTGATAGTGACAATCAGTTTTGGCGTTTGATTGATGTTTGTTCGAGTAAGTTTCATATATCTGATTGCCTGTTTGAGTGTTACCCAGGAGCACCATCCTCGGGAAAGCCTAAATGGCGAACACAAAAACACAACCGTCAAAAACTGAAAATGATACAGGTTTTTATACTGGATAATTAAAACAGATTCTACTATCATGATAAACATACATTTTATGAAATCGATGCAATGACAAAATATGGGTTTCGCGTTTGTTTGATAGCGACAATTAATTTTGGCGTTTGATTGATGTCTTGCTCGGTCAAGAAACCATTTTGGTCGGTTTACTCGACCAAGAATCTTGCTCGGTTAATCGAAAAATTTGATCGATCAATTGCACCACTAACTATTACTACTTCTGTGTCTGGAGTCTCCGCCTAGGCCACCTCTATTCTCACCCGGGGTCTTTTGGCTATTCTCACCCGCTGCGCGTTCACCGCTATAGCCTAGATCTAGGCCAACAAATTTTGCGTTCACCCTAAACCACAGAATTCTACGCTGTGATAACAGAAAAATTTGAGAATCCTGTGCCGTGAACAAACGTTCCATTACAACTGTAGCCTACTAAAAGTGTACAAGATTTTGTCTGTGGGCAGTGGAGAGAGAGAGAGAGAGAGAGAGGAGTAGCGCGAGAACTTCCGGGCAAAACAAAATGGCGACCCGCGTAGTTCGGCTCGATTCGAAAAGATAAATAGCCGTAGCATCTTTGTAGACAACCAAATTAATTTACTTTTGTGTTTTAACATCATTTTTTAACTTTGTTTTGGTCAATTTGATCGTCCACACCGATAGACAGTATTCAGAAAGAGACAGAGAGAGAGAAGAGGGGAGGAATAGATCTTGCGAGAACTTCCGGGCAAAACAAAATGGCAACCCCCGTTGTTCGGCTCGATTCGAAAAGTGAAATAGCCATAGCATCTTTGTAGTCGATAAAATTAGCTTACTTTTGTGCTATAACGTAATCTTTTCTTTGCCTTAAAGTTTATCCATTTGATCATCCACATCGATAGAAAGTATTCCGAAATTAGGAAAAACAGGTCTTGTTTCAAACCGGGCGAGAATAGCCTACGGTGGCAAGTCTCACCCAGGGTGAGAGGTCGATCGTATTTCTATTCTCACCCCGTTTACGCTCCCAGTTGGCTTAAGATCCCACTGTTTTAAGAAAACAGAATTTTTTACTATACAAAAGTCACCCCTAAGATCCCGCTCTGACTCACTGTGAAGGTTTATATTCGGCTAAGTTCCTGCATAATTTGCGGGGAACGAAAACCCAGGCCGGCACAGCCGATCAACCAAGAGTGAAAAGTTGAGATCAATAAACTGTCCGTCGCGTCAAAGATCTGCCACTATCGTGAATGTGATCACTTACACGTACTCTTTTAAGCGATACAATGTTTGCCCCAGACGGGATCACTCCGGGGTGTGAACTGACCGACCCGTTTGTTTTCCCCACGCATCGCACTCACACCTGAGCTCTCCCCCTAAACTTTCATCTCTTGCTGGGTGGGTAGGGCCAACACGTTCGTTCCAGGCGGGATCATATCGAACCGTTACCTCTTCCCTGACCAATGCAGCAGTTGTCTCTAATCCTTCGAATTTGCAAGACAGACTGAATTTTAATTGGTGTGTTCACAACGTACAATGGTGTGTAACAACAAAGGCGTTTGGGGGGGGGGGGGGGGGGGGGACTCACTATAAATTTTCGACTGGTAAAAGCTCGCTATAAATTTTCGACTGGTAAAAGATTGGGCAACTGGATATAAGCGTAAATTGTGAGACTCATGATAGGGTAATAAGTGAAAATGGCACGCCTCATGCCACTATGCACTGTGATAGAAGGTCATCAAGGTTAACTACTCTTTGCTCATGGGTCTTTCCACCAGAACTGTTTATTTAATACCTCTAGTCTATTTTGAATGTCAATACAACCACCAATAGACACCAATCATACTTATTTTGGTACAAGTGCAAAGAAATAATGTTTTGGAATCTCTGATAAAAAGCTTGAAAAACTGTTAGAAATCCATGTTGTAAGGTAAGAAACAAGGGAAAAAAGAGGTGTTTTTTCTGATTGAAAAAAGTAACAAGGAAATGGTGCAGATAATTGGTGTGGTCTCCAAGCAACAAAACTGTTTGTTTCTTCTATGAAGAGGCATCTTTCTATAATAGCAATGAGCAGGACTTTGCATGCAAAAAGCACACACTTTCCCGATATGAGGCCGCTGAGGCTCGTTGTTTAGTTGTGAGGATCGTTTCATAGGTTCCTCCGTTTTGAACTGGAAAATCATCATGTCCTCAAAAAGTCACAATCGGGAGGGTTCAGTTTTTTCCATTTTATGGGAAACTGATGCTTAAATTCCTACACTGTAGTAAGAGAAGAATTTCGCAGGGTAGTGTCTAATTTCGTATTTTCAAGCCGTTTTGAAAATGAAGCCGATGTTCGTCCAAATGGAACATTCCTGACGACCTTTGTCTCTCCTAGTATACCATTTTTTTTCGCCGGCACGCTTTCCAATGCCATGCCCAGAAGCCGATTTTTCGCTTTCAGAGGTGTGTTTGTCCACAATGTTTGACAATGTAACAATCCTCACGATGCAAAGAAACAATCCTCACGATGTTAGCATAAAAGTAACGTTCCTCAGGTTTTTTAAGCAGACTGGAAAACTTGTAGGCCTACATGGATGGGTGGTTGCATTTATGTACAAAGCTACAAAATCAGTATAAGGAGAAAAGTGCAATCTCTTGATTTCAATCTGGCGTAGCTGTTAGGAAGAAAATGAAATTCATGTTATGTAACATTCCTCACATTTTGTGTAGAAATCTATTTTCAAACACGTCAGTTGTGAACTGCTGGTAACTCTCAATGTTGTTCCTTCTATTTAAAGCCTTTTTTCAACAGTGTTGATAGTTTGGAATTTGTTTTAGTCAAAGTTTACTGAATTTTTCTCAATAATTCTGTCCTGAAACATTCCTCACAATTTTCACAAAGTGAGTTGTATTCACAGTCACTAAACATTAGTTTAGTTTGATAAGGGTTTGGTTTTAAGGTTTATTGTGAACAGTTTCTCACTGCAGAACCATTGTTTGCCTTGTGTCCTGGCTATGAGAAAAAAGTTTTAAAAAACGTTTGAATAAAATCAGTATTTTTGTCCTGTAACATTCGTCACATTTTGATGTCATTTCAGTTGACACTCTCGCTAATTTCTATTATTTATTTCCCAGTGGTTCGAGTTTAAAAAAATTTGTAAAACACCTTCACATGAGCTGTTCACTTTATATTTGTCTGTATCTCTGTGGTCCTTTCCTCAGAGTCCAGGGTATTGCACTTTCATGGCATGCTGTGCTAGACCTGATTATCAAAGAGAGAGGTCTGGCCTTTTCAGGAACAAACAATAAGACCTTGCTTGTGACAACTTGCCACAATGCATTCATTGGAAACAAATTTAAAATTTGAACATAGATTTTACTAAATGATAAACAGTATAGGTGGAATGACCCATATCATAAACCCACGAAGGGGTCACGTCAGCTCATTTTGGAGTGGAGGGAGACCATTTTACCAAATGTGAGCCTTAACAGAGGGAAGTGGAGGTCATTGATGGCCCATGCCAGTCGGCAAGGCACCGGATGATGATGATGAGCCTTAACATGGGTCACCATAGATTCTTCCCTGGGTTCGTCGGTTAAGAACCCGGTTTGCCTAAGATCCTGCATTTCCTTGCTCCCAAGCACCGGGATCTTAGGGGGAGACTACTGTACCACTACTACTACTACTTCTAGATCTAGGCCTGTTACGAAGTTGGCGATTGTTAAGATTCCCGTGTTTAATTCCGATTTGCGTTTTTCATAGCCTCTGGCGTGTTTCGCTTTGGCTTTGGTCCCTACCCAGACCCTAACCCTAACCCTAACCCTGAAAAATGCAAATCGGAATTAAACGCGGGAATCTTAACAATCGCCCTACTACTACTACTAGAATCTATTACTATCTACTATTACTACCTAGACTATTACTACTACTACATCTAGTACTAGTTACTACTCTACAACTCTACTAACTGTACTAGTATCTACCTAGATCTAGTTGTAGTACTGGGATTATCCGGTTTTGGCCCCAACAATAACTATGGAGTTTAGGGTTTTGGCTCTAGTATACTACCGATTACTATAGATCTAGGTCTATTACATTGTTCGAAACTATTATTTTTCACTGCTTATGCTAATATGATGACGCGCGGTGAGCGCCAGAAAATATCTAAGCTAATTGCAAAGTATCAATGGTTAAATACGGGGGGGGGGGGGGGGGGAGGGGGGGGTGTTTTTTGGGGTTGTGTGCATGCCCCCCTGAAAACCCCCATATTTTTATTAAGTCCGTGGGGGTGGGGGGGGGGGGGGGGGGGGGGGCAGGGGGGGGGACCCCTTTGGTCCCTTGTTAAAATCAAGTGAAATATTGCTGCTAAAATATTACTGAAAAATAGCACAGTATCTCTTGCTCTATTTCGGGGATAAAACATCGATACTGAGTAAGTCAGTATCGATATTCCAATACTCTTGGGGGTCAAAAACTGGAGAATGCCATAGTTGGCCTACCACTCCTCAAACTACTACTTCTGTTGAACCTGCCATTAAAAGCAGAAACTTACCAAGACGGAAACCAGTTATAAAGGAATCTCCCGGCTCTGTTTTTTTGTAAATTCCTGAACAATTAGGCCTATGTCTGTAAATGGGAAACCTGTCAACCCAGAAATGGAAAAAAAAAATGGTTTGCCCGCTCGACCGTGATTTTAGACAAAGCTCTCAAGTTTGATTCCATTCACTCTTACCATTATTTATGCCACACTGACTGGTGAGGAAGGGTGGATGAGGTGTGGTTTGGGGGTAGCTTTTACCTCATCCATGTGAGCCCTGAGGGGGGGGGGGGAAATCTCTGTGAAATCAAGTTCTACTGCTTTAAAAAGTGCTTGAGTGGTGCTCCAGCACGGAAACTTTCCTGGGTAGCAAGAGGTGAAATTAACTTGACCACTGCCTGTTGCCCTGACCGTATGGCACACTTCTCTTTCAGTTTGTTAGAAAAATCTTTTGGGCGAAGAGTTTGATTCTAACTGGTCTTAGAGTATAATTGTACAGCCAGTAATCACCCGTTATCTTCCTTGTCAGGTTCATCAGAGGCTGATTTGTGAGATCAACGAGTCTCCCGTCAGCTCTTACGATGGCTGCAAGTTTATCTGCTGCTGCTGGAGGAACTGCTGTGTCCCTCTGGGTGAAAGCGGAGCCCTTCAGCTATGGCACGATTCCTGTCGCTCCACACCCACGTCTCAACAGCACTGTAAGTGTCTGACTTCTCTGTAGAAGTGTATGGTGGATAATGTACATTTAGGTCCCGTTTTATCTCTCAATTTCTCACTTGTTAAAAAATTTCTTTCATGGTTTTATTTTTCGTCAGCTCATGCGGCTTCATTATTTTTAATAAGAAACTACAAAGTAGTAACGAAAGAGTATAAATCTGGGTACATAAGTATGGCACAATATGAATTAATGTTCAAAAAATGTATTAAAGGTTTGAAAATCTACTCAAGTTTAATACTGTAAACATGAAAAATGTTTCCTTTGATTAGAGGACAATTAATACATGTGTTCATGATTTTTTGCATTTCTCTATAAATTGATTTTTTATCCTCAGAATATTAAAAAGATTGTGATATATTCCAAGAACAAAGGGCGCGCAGGCTTTCCAAATTTAAGGTACCTCGCTTTTGATTGTAAGCAGTGAGCCATTGTCATATCACTGTTGTCAAAGTGCACGCTTACCACAAATGTTTTCATCTTGAGTGCTGTTTCATGTCCTCTTTAAAAGGAGTAAGTTTACAAAAATCATTAGTCGAAACAAAATTAAGAATGAATAGAGACTTATAGAGAGCAATAGTTTGATGATTATAACTATTCATCGATAAAAGATTTAACATATGTGCTTTTTATAGCCCTTGTTTGTGAGAGCACAGTGATGAATATGCCCTGCTTTCATTTCTTTTCTTTGTTGACTGCAGTTGACTTAATGATGTAAAATCCTTAGTTCATGCAAAATCTGAGTGTAGTGATGATAAACTGCCTATGGAATATCCACTAAAGGTTTATTTCTGAGTTTTTAAGTCAAATATTCTTATCTGATATTACTTATTGTATCTTTGCCTTTTGTATTTTTGCAGTTATTCAGTGTGGCAGCACATAGCTTGCAACAAGCTTCATCTGTCTGAGGACTTGGCATGGATGTAAGCAATAGTTTTTTCTGAACCTCCTTTTCCCTCCACCCTTTTGTGAAGAATGTAACTGATTGGAATGAGTTCTGAGATCAATTAATTCTCTCTCTCCCCCTCTTTCTTTCTCTCTCCCCCCCTCTCTCCCTCTTTCTCCCTCTTTCTCTCTCTCTCTCTCTCTCT